TGGGACTCTGTGTTTCTGTTACAATTCCTGTCATCCTCAGCCAATGGGCATGTTGTTTCAGGATGATGGTATAGTAGCCCAGCACATCCAAAGAATAAGATCAGAGAGGTCTACTAGCTGGATTCTGACCAGGAAATGGTACGTTATTAAAAAGATGGAGGCCTTTCTCCCTCCTCCTTTCTTCTGTGGTCTCTGGAAAGCTAGCCAGGCAAGCTTGCATCATCATACTAATAATGTTCAAAAGACCAGTCTGTCTCAACACTTCCATAGAATCAGATTCACTCAAACAGTATGTCTGGTCTTTAAGACCCATGTAGACCTGTTCCAAATGCCCTGATTTGCTTTTTTTCTGTACCAGTTTCTTTTCTTTATAAAAATATTTCCTTATCCCACAAATAAGTAAAAATGTTAGTCATTCATGTATCAGTTCATCATTTAGATTGCCATTATGTTCTTCCTGGTGCAGCTCAGGGTAACATTTTGATCTCACAAATGTTCCTTAAGGACAGACAGAACAAGTTTAAATTGGAAAACTGAGCAGGATTGTCACATGGAGAGTCCTGGCAGGGGAAGAAGTTGGTTGCCCTAGAATGATTTTGAATTAGAATTCTCCATCGAGCCAACTTGCCCTTAATCAAGGGCAGTTGGAGCATTACTGAAAGCTTTCCCATGTCCTAGAAGGTAACTTTTCCCTTTCATTCTTCCTGAGGCTGGCTGCTGTGATGGAGACGCATGTTTCAGCTAATAAGCCTAGCTGATGACTCACCTCAACTCTCCTGCCAGGGAGCAGCATCCGGGAGTTTTCTCAAGGACAAAAGGGTTTTTAAAAAGAGAACAATATCAAGCATCAAACTGTAAAAGCAAATCTGTTCATTTATCCCATATACTTTCTCTTTTGATACAACTTTGGAAAGCAGAATTTGTTTCGCTTAGAGTCAAATAATGCCAAACTCCTGGATAACATTGGGTAAAAAATTGTTCTGATGCAGAGTTACCAGATATTGTTTCCCAAAAACAAATATACACACAAATCTTTGGATATGTCCACGCTTAGAACTCACATTGGTGACGGTGAAAATCTGTCACTGTACTCAACTCCAAAACTGCTCTGTGTTGATTATTATTATTTCCACCCACACCAAGCAAGTTCAATTTCCTCCTCCTCCGATTTCTTTAGGAGGTTCTCACATCAAAAATCCTCAGCTGTTTAGACTTCAGGTTAGCTCTGACCTGGAAATGGTCTTCCATTTTAAGTTTGCAGCTAGATTTCTTTAAGAAAAGCTGTTGAGAATAGTACTAAAAAAACATCACAGTTTTTCCAGGAGAGAATGGGATGAGATGGAATAATTCAGCACCTTTGGGTCATGGTTCTTCACAAGAAATATCATTATAGACTAGAGTATCCATAGTACAATCTAGGATATGATAGTGCATCTTTGTGGTCTGCTTATTATATCATGTGAACCCAGAAAATTGGGCCGAGAAGCCCATGGTTTAGTTAAACTGCGTCCAGACACTGCCAGAATGCTAGAATTTAGTTGAGCCAATGGGAATTTCAACAGTATTTGCCCTCATTTTGCCTACATTTTGGCAGGGAAAAGAGAAAACACAGGAGAGGATGTGGGCTTGGCAAACTCAAGGATTCAGACAGGAAAGGCAATGAACAAAAAGTACCTTCAAAAGATAGAGAATGACGGCAATTTCTTGCAAACCACAGAGAGAAGCAAAATGTTGTACCAGTAAGGAGGAGGAGAAGGAATACTAAGCTAGATCCAACCCAAGGTTTTTTTAAATTCTGTTTCATATGAAAGAATGAGAGAAATGACAAAGTGAGCAAGTGTGGAAGGAAAGAATTACCTGAGAGCCATGCAAAATGGTGTTACGAACAAAAGCTAATTTTGAGAGCAGCAGAGGCTTGTAAGCCACTGGCAGCTTTTGGTCAGATTGGAGCAAAAATTACTTAAATAGTATTAATGAATGAGCAGAAATTCCACAGGTAGAATATGTTGAAGATTAGTGAAGAGTTGAAACAGACATTTTAAGAAATCCAACTTTTTGCTACTAGCTTCTCCCACTCTTAACTTTTTATCAAATAATTGTCTCAATAATATTCATTCACAATAAGACATGTCTTAATGAGTTATTGGAGTTATGAGGATGAAACAGTCTTTTGAGCTGTTTGCCTTCACTCCCTTTGTAAGGAAGAAGCCAGAGATTATTTCACCCAGGATGAAAAACAGAGGTAGTTTGCAGCTACAATAGTTACTTCTAATATACAAAGAAAGGAAAGCAAATCCTGCCTTATTCATTGAAAGTTATTTCTCAATTCAATTTATAAATTATAAATTCATTTATGAATCACTGATTCTTCATTGTTTTTGAACAAACTAGTCATAAAAGCATTGATTGGGGATTAGGAAGAAGAGCTGAATACCTTGTTTGGCTCATTCTGGTCAGTACATGTGAAAAGTTACCTCTTCTGGTCTGGCTGGTTTCTTACCATTCCCTCTTAATCAGACATGAATGTGATGATTAAGTCAAAAATGGTTTGGTCCTTTAATTTGTCAAGAGCTACTGAAAACTCAACTCTTCCTCTAATTTAGGGCTAGGCTGCAAAAATCAAAAAGACCACAAGAGGGCAGGAAAGAGTTTGTGTTTTCTGTTATCTCATTGCTGCTTTTTATTGGTCGCCTGCATCCTGGCAACCAAGATGCATATAGTAGGGGTGAAGGCAGAAGTGCTCATGGGTAAATAATGTAGTTACATTCATAATAAGATTGGTTTTAATGGGAATGAGTTTGTAGTGAAATTGACACTCGTGTTGACTTCTGTATAACACTGAGACATACATATGTTCGATGTCTTTTAAATAGCTATGGTATCATTTCACTTAGATAAATCTCAAGCTTTTTTTAAAAATAAAGACATGGATATGTAATTAAAATCGAATTGGAAAATAAATAATGTATTTTAAGAACATGATGTGTTTTTCCTAGTTGTTTATAATAATGTACAATTTTCCTAATATATTGCCTTCCAAATGTTTTAGATTAATCAGTCACATTACCAAGTCAGTTTAGCCATATGTGTTGTATATAAAGATGATGGGAATCATAGCCCAAAGGTTATGAAAATCTATTGTACAGCAACATATCCAAAATCCTCATTAAGATATTAACCAAAGTCATAAACTACCAGGAGGCCTCAAAACGCACCAGAGATTTTCCACTTTTAGTTCTACTACACCAGTCATACCTAGGCATCCTACATTCATGACTCTTTCTTGAAAAGCAAATACAGTCATGTGGGCTACCAGCTACTGTTCAAATTTATATCGGGTGGCAGTTGTATCCATTCCTTGATCAGGAATCCCTACTCCCAGTCACTCAAATCCAGATTATCTCATATCTGGATATGAGTGGATATGAGCACTCACAAAGTGCTCTACATGGGGTTCCCCCTGAAGACCACTCAGAATCTACAGCTGGTCAGGAATGCAGCACTAAGGGTAGTTATGTATAGACCTCAGTACACCCATGTAGCACTTTCCTGGGACCTGTGTGATGTGATACTATACTATATGATACACTATATACTGTATTGTACTACACTACATTACACTATACTATACTATACTAGTGGGTTTCCAGGTGCAATGGAAGATTCTGGTTATTAGCTTCAAAGTCTTTCATAGCACAAGGCCTACTTATTTGGTTAGGCACCAGGCTAGAATCAAGGAGGCTGTGAGTTCTAGTCCTGCTTTTAGCATGAAAGCCGGCTGGGTGACTTTGGGTCAGTCACTCACTCTCAGCCCAACTCACCCCACAGGGTTGTTATTGTGAGGAAAATTAGAGGAAGGTGTCTTGGATATGTTTGCCGCCTTGAGTTATTTGTAAAACTAATAAAGGTGGGATATAAATAAAATAAAAACTCTGCGATTGTCAATAGCCAATTATCTCTGTCCATCTGAAGGAAATCTGTCAGGATAGGTGTCTCTTGGGTCCTATTTCTCATCCAATGTCATTTTACAGGAGGGCCAGGAAATGTGCCTTCTTTGTCACTGCATATGCCCTATGGAGTGCTATTTCCTCCAAAATTTGGGTGTCCCAACCATGTATATATCTCTCTTTTGTAAGATCTTGAAGACCAGGTTTTCCACCAGATATTAAGTTAGGAGGGTTTGGGAAGGCATCTGGATGGATTGTCTCAATTACTGCATTGCCTCTGGCTTACTTTATTATATTGTTATTGTTTTTAGTGTGGTTATTGTTTTGATACTACTCTGCCCTGAATCATTTGGGATTACTGTTCTCTGCCCTGAGTTGTTTGGGATGGGAGTTATAGAAAATTCATCTTCAGATGTGTTGAGAATTGCATAAATCATCAGAAAACAGCTCATATATATGTTCACAGATATGGCAGAATAGATACATTCATTAAAATGTGAGCATTCTCATGATTGGATAAATAAATAATTATATGTCTAGCGAAGTAACATTTTTACATCTTAGACAGTTTGCAATTGCAGGCACACATGGCACTTCTAGATGCAGAAAAATCTGAATCTGAATGTATAAGACATGCAGGCATAAATACAGTATCCATAAATTATAATAGAAATGATTTGAGAACTTCATACTATTAAAGAAAACCTTTTTTAGGCAGCATTCTGTTGTCCCTTGCATGTTAGTAGAATTCCCAGGTTACAGAGTGTTCCAGTGTGTACTGAACTCTCACAGATTCAAAGTATAGCATGTATGTTTTATTAATGTACTTTGACTCACCAGCAGCAGCTTGTAGCCATTCTTTTTCTCTTAAGTCTGTCTCCATGCCCATGTGCATTGAAGCTAAGTGTCAATTTATCCTCATTCATGAGATTGCTCTTGTACATGATTGCTTATTCAAGAAGAAGTATACAGTCATGCACTTCCATTCTTACCAGGGCATGGACAGAAAATATTTATTAATTATTTCATTCTCTTTTTGTGTGTCTCTAATAGTTCAAAAGAATGCTGAACCGTGAATTAACCCACCTCTCTGAAATGAGCCGTTCTGGAAACCAGGTGTCTGAGTACATTTCCAACACCTTTTTGGGTGAGTGTATGGAAGTGTGTTTTTAATATTGCCATAACCCTACTGCACCTATAACCCATGTACATTCTTTTAAAAAATATTATGCAATAGTGGTATCAGTATCTATTCTACATTATTTTTCAATCAAATACAATCAGGCAGTTTGCTAAAAAAGGAAACATTCTTTTTAGGGTTCACAAGTTTTTGTACAGTAAGGCAGAACAAGATATAAAGAATGTAATTGGCATTAACCTTTCTTCTTATTGCTCAAAGTGATATACCGTGTTTCCCAGAAAATAAGACCCTGTCTTATATTTTTTTGAACCCTGAAATAAGCGTTGGCCTTATTGCCATGCGCTCAAAAGCCCAATTGGGCTTATTATCAGGGGATGACCTATTTTGGGGGAAACAGGGTAGTTTGACTCTCACAGTTTCATAAACTGTTCCCCAAAGAAAAAAATCATATGAATAAATAAGTTAAATAAGGAATTGCATCAATACCTAATTTTGAAATAACATAAACCTATTTATGAGTAAAAGTTCTGGTAAAGGTTCTGTGAAGATTCAACCTTTTGTTGGATAAATATAAATGTTTTTTTTAATCCATTGCACTTAAAAAATTGTAGTCATTTTTCTCATTAAAGCAAATGCACCCTTCCAAAGCAGGAATGTAATATACTCTATTGTTATAAACACTGATGGCAATGTCTATAGTTCTTTAACATTGATAATTTATCTGGAGTATAATAAGAAAAACATAATTACTAAATCTTATATGTTCTTCCACATCTAACAATGAATGAGTCTGTCTTCCATTCTCGGCTGTTATTATATTATTTCCTTAGAGTTAAGCCAAAATAGGAGTTTGGTTCCATATATTGTTTCTTCGTGCATATCCCAAAAGTCCTCCATCTCAGAGGTTGGGAGGAACAGTTTGGACAAGGACAAAAATATTCACCGTGGGAGGAATAAGTGATGGTCCCTAGCCCCAGTGCAGTTTGTTTCCTCATGACTCATCCTATGCAAATGTGCCTGAGGTTGCGTGTTCCAATGCACGTCCCATCGAAAGTAATATCATGAGAACAGAGAACATTTACAGGCAGGTGTGCTTCTGTGACGCTCTCCGCAGTATGTGAAGTGCTGTAGACAAGGAGCATCCCAAGTGCTGAGGTAGCACAGTTGCCTTGGCAACAGGGAGATTCCCACTCCTCCCTTCGCCAGCTTAAACTGAGGGCAAAGATTTGGCTTTGTTTGCCCTTATTGATGTCATCTTACAGCCAAATCTAATTGGCTGAAGTCATTTGAAAAGAAGAAAGCCCACTGAGGGAAAAACCGAGCAGAGACTAACTGCAGATTGTTACTACAATAGAGTCCTTCCTCTCCCACTGCTAAAGCAGTATTGGGGAAGGGATAGATAGCACCAGGCATATTCATGTGGTGAAGCCCAAACAGACACAGCTCTTCCCCAGCCTCTTCATATACTGATGAACACGGAGATTTCCCTCCAATTTCCAGGAGGAATTAAATTCAAATTCTGCTGCTCTGTACAGGTTCATTTATACCTGTCTCAGAATGCCAATCCCTGGGTATTAGGCAAGAAGAAAGACTGTGCTCACAGGTTTCCCCTTCCCCTTTCAACCTGCTCTCCTAACAACCAGCTAAGTAAATGTTTGATAAGATAGTAGAAATACACAGGTATTTGGGCACTTGGATAACTCTTATACAGTGCTCCCTCCCAAGCACACTTGTGGCAATTATATCAGCATCAGTAGGAAATTGAAGGTGGGGCTGAAATTGGCTGGGAATTCTGGAAGGCACCAATTGGAGAAAGGGTGTAGGCATAATGTAAATATTAGAATCAGAAAGTGATGGTGGTTTTTTGTGGTCTCTGCTTAATATCAGATAATCTGAATCTACAACACAATTTTCAGTTTCCAACTTGTATTTGATAATTATGTCCAGGAATTTAGGTTCCTGGATTTCACAGTTGGATCATGCCATGATTTTTCCATTCAGAGACATACAAGCAATCTGGAAGAGTTTTCTCTGAAATAAACTCCACTCAGATTAATGGGATTTACTGTCATATAAATGAGCATAAGGATGCTGCCTGTAGCTTCATTCTTGAACATATTTACTTGAGAGCAAATCTTTACATGACTTACTCTGCAAGTAAACCTAACAAGGTTTAGAATTAGCCTGTCAGGCAGTTTTATCCTCTTATGCACAGATCATCGTACTGTATGCACAAATCTAAGCAGGTTGTTCTCCTCCAATCTCCGTAAATATGTGTAAACATTGTGTTTACATAAAAATGAAATAAGTACCGCATTTGTGTGCTGAACCATTCATGATTATCTTAGTATTTGCAGAATCAGAGGCCTTGCCATGTATGTCTCCCCTAAGAGCTGCAGACTTCCTGAATCAGACAGAATAGCTAAGAACTTCAGTCATCTGAAACAAACTCCTGGGTGCCTCCTGTCCACTGCAAAGCAGGCCTCCCATTGACGTCAGCGGATGCAAATACCCAGCCCTAAGCAAATGTTGATGCAAACTACCACTTCAATGGAGGCCTTGTGTGAGAGCTGGAACATAGGCTGAAAACACAGGCCAAGTATCGGTTGAGCAGGGGCCAGAATTCACCCTCCCTGCTCCTCCTGAGCAGCTGTGGCATGGTCTGCCAATGTCATGTGATGAGGCAGTGCCAGGCCACAGTGGTGCAAAAGAGGTGAAAAAGAGATAGTGAAATCCTATTATTGAGCTTAGCTGGTTGACTTCACATACACACCCCTCGCCCCATGAGAGATCTTCCCAATATGGAATTGCTGTGGAGAGAGGAGTTTTCAGATAATGAACAGATGGGGAGGACCCATACCAGTGTAGCTAGCTTGGTCCCATGCATTGGGGCTTTGGAACTGTTTCTATGTTGGCAGAAGTTGTGTTTGGTAGGCCAGCCTGGGAACTGCCTGAGTACTTGGATTTCATTCTTGGCTGTGGCACCAAAGCAGAACCGAGTGATTGGTAGGAAATGGCCAGAGTAACTGGTTGTTTGTGGCTGAGGGCTAGAAGCAGAGCTTGTTGGTTGAGGTGAGGAAAGGAAAGGAGTCAGAACTCCTAAATTTATTCCCAACTTTTTATTCCAAATTTGCGTCAGCCATAAAGATACACATGCACAGATGCTCACTTGCCTCAAACGCAAGAGGTGCCCTGAGATGATAGCATCCCACAATACTGAGGCAGCCTATTCTTCCAGATTCTCAAACTCCCAGGCAAACCCTTGAATCTGCTTGATCATTTATGAAACAGGTGAGATTGCAGATGTACTTGAGCTGTTTTGTTGCCACAGGAAAGCTAGTTCTTTCAATAGGTTGTCTTCCAGAGTCTGACCACCATCTTAGTGTAAGCAAAGGATCTCCCCCTGTATTTGCCAAACTTGGTAGAACGCTGGCTGCAGAGTTATCCAAAGCCTTTTCAGGTGAATTTGGGGGGAGGATGGGAATATTGGGAACTCTGTTAGGGGCAGTATTTGAAAGAGTTTGGCTGCATGGCAGTTAACTTGAATATTCTCTGTTGTCACAATCCTTCTTCCTAGTAACTCAGAACCCAGCACTCTAGAATGGTACCATAGCTTATGCCCTGCTTCCTCCCGGGGCCTGTTGCCCGCCCCTTCCACTCTGCCATGAGGCCCCCGTGCCGCTGCTTCTCCCGCAGGTACCATTGGGGCATAGCTCTGCCATGTCATGATGCGACTCCCTCCCAGTACCCTGTCACCCTGCGCCCTCCCCATTTTCTGCCTCCCCTAGGCTCCCCCAGTGTACGCCACCTCCCCCTTGGCAGGCTATCTCCTCCCCCTGCTCCGTACTCCCAGTGGGTGCCACCCACACGGGACTTCTTGCCCTTGGAGACGGTCCTAGAAGAAGGTGGGGGAACAAGGCCCTCCACTCCTGAGGGTGAGTCTCCCGCCCAGACTGCTCTATGTTGTACTTTGACTCTTCCAGTCTAGAAACCTAAACTGAACAGTTTTCCTTCCATCTTTATGAACCTGAAGTATCTACAGGGGATGGAGAGTGAGCAGGATTGTTTTCACCACTACTTTGGCCTAATGGCCAGCATTATATTTCTCCCTTTCTTTCTCTAAAGGAATAATAGCAACTATTCATTTGTCTGGGAAAAATGAAAGACTACAGTCAGGGACAGAATTAAGATGATGAATAAATCCTGTTTGACTGGTTTGTTTATTAGAAAGGGGGAGATGCTGTATCATTCCGATTCTGAGCACTTTTTTTATTACATCTTTAATTATATGTGTATAAACAGAAGTCTTCTAGAAGATGGAATGTATGCTGATATAAGAAAAGAATCTCAGAATGACGTTGTTGAGAACAGTTTATAAAAAACATAACTGAACAATATCACTGCTCATGCAGATCAGCATCCTTTCATGCTACTGCTATTGCTAATAATAACCATTTTATGAAAGTAGTTAAAAATAAATAAAAATAGTTGTTTAACTGCCCAGTTTATTGGTACTGTCCAGTAGGTACTTATAAGACACACAAAAAACATTTGGATGGTTTTCTTGTCCTTTTTTGGGTACTGCAAAATTGAAACAGCCTGAGCTCATGATGAGGCAGAACTAAATATCTGAATTATAGAAAACAGGAGTCTGCATATACCTTGAAGAACAATCATATCCTGAGGCTATTCTACTTTTAAAATAAGGGGGAGGGGGAAATGTATGAGGGCAACAAAGACGGAGGAAAAATCTAAAAAGACAAATAAAGTAGGACAATTACACAATGAATGCACCTCCCAAAACTTCAATAAGCATTAAGAAGTTTTAACATTTAAGAAGTCCCAACATTCCTGCAGTATCCTGATTTACTTATGGGAACTTTAAGCTACCAGGAATTAGGTTAAAATTCCTTTTGCTCCATAAATTCTGAGCTTTCATTCTTGGCATCTTTGAGACAGTAATGAAATTCCATCTGGGAGCAATGTCATTTGGATGAAGGATGGATGGAGATAAAATATTTGTGTCACAAATCCTGACACTTGGTCCAGAGGCTACTTCTTAGATGAGGTAGTGCTCTTCCAGTTTTTTGCCATTGTCATTTCTCTCTCCGATGCAGTCTCTTTTCATCCACAGACAAGCAGAACGATGTGGAGATCCCATCCCCAACACAGAAAGACCGGGAGAAGAAGAAGCGGCAGCAACCCATGTGCCAGATCAGTGGGGTCAAGAAACTCATGCACAGTTCCAGCCTGACCAATTCCAGCATTCCTCGCTTTGGGGTGAAAACAGACCAAGAAGAGCTGCTCAGTAAGGTGAGCATTTAGCAAGATGAAAAAAAACAAGGGAAGGGAGTGAAGGAAGTCTGTGCCCATCTTTGCAAAAGATGATTTGGAAATTGTGGCTCATACTTTTAACAGTCTCTAGACTCTGAGAAAAGTGCCAGCCTTAGTACATTTTATTTAGGTTGATTTCCAGAGGCAACTTCTGCCTTTGATGAGATACTAAAGTATTTTACTCTCAGATTCTTTTGTCTTTGAGGCAGCATTTCCCCCAAACAGGATATTGAACTGGTTCACTAGAGTCACTTCCTCATAATTTTAGCACATTTGACAAAAAGATTTAGCTATCACTGAGTTAGTGTATTCCTATTCCATTTGAATTGAAACTTTTTGCATATTTCTCCAACACAAGAAGATACTTGTTTTTATTTATTTTTTTGTGGATTATCCTAAACAAATTACCTGAGCTAGTTTACAACAAAGGAGCAAAAATAAAGAAAGAACCATGACTGCAGAAAAATAAACAATACAAACACTTATATGCAGAAAAACAAATACAGAATTAAGTGCTCATAGCCAGCAAAGTTAATGTGCTGCCAGGTGACCTTCCTGAGATAATTGGGCCAGACAAGTACAGTTGACTTTAGTAAGGTGGTGCCAGATAAATCCCAGGGCTTGATCGGGTCCCATCAACATAATACTTACTTGTTATCCTGAAATGATTGTAAAAGACCAGTTCAGAAATAACTTTCTTGGCTTAATAAATCATAATTCAATAAACAAGTAACAATCCCTTCCATTCTTGTCTTTGTTCTTTCAGTCCCAGTCAGTTCGCTGTAACTGCTAGTGACATCCAAAACTGCGAATATTATCAGAATTCTAAACCAAGTGCAGGGTGAGCAAAAGAGTATAGGCTTGAAACTTGCAATCCAGAAATATTATGCATGAACAAGAGAAACACTTATTTCCAGAAATTTGGAGTCTTTATAACTGCTTCACCGATTTCCACTAAATGTCCTCTAAAAAAAACTGATCAATACTGTCACGTGGCAAGTCAATAGGGTTATTAGACTGCTAACTAGCTTTTAGTCTTAGGTAAACTAATTTGGAATGGTGTAGAATCTCCTGCCATGGGCAGGGAGTTAGACTAGAAGACCTCCAAGGTCCTTCCATCCCTATTATTCTATGTTCTATGTTTTAATTATATTTTCATATTCCTATAGATATTGTTCATATCTAATGAGTTATATAGTTAGATGATACCTATTTAGATTCACACCAATTATTTTTGCAATATTAAATACAAAAATAAAGATAGACTGCCACATAGCAATCAGTTTTATTCAAGGAAATTGTATTTTATGAATTGAACCAAACAATTTTGAATAATCTTGACCTTTTCTCTATATTTCCATAGTGTATAAGTCTTCATTTTCTTATTTTACTCTGTTTGTACTAGCAAATTATACCTTATTTCTTGTAGCCTACATCAGTATTGATAGCCAGTGACCACACCCAGATAACCAAACCTTGTATTATTGAGAAAAAGCATTATAAGTTGAATGAAATTACTTTGTTCCTTTTTCTATACAAATGAGTAATTAAACCAGGAAATGTTTGTTTTGGATCCTCATGTTCTTCAAGCCAAGAAACTGGTTGATATTCTCTAAGCAAACCAAAATATGAAGCTAACTTTTATTTTTAGCTTAATGTCTTGACTTGTTCAGAAAAGATCAGTATATTTTAATGTATGCATTATTTGTATTCTGGAATATATCTAAAATGTTTTAAACTGTAGATTTAGCTTTCCATCTTTCACAAAAAGGAGATGAAACAATTGTTCATTCATTTCTCGTTTTATTAAGCTGAGAATTGATTGTTCAAATGTAATCCAGGAATAAGCAAGACAGAACTTGTTAATTAAAGGAACTCTTTGAATCATGTCCATCTGGTGCAGAACAGACATGTGCTACAATTATAAGGAATAAATATTTTTTAGCATTTGCTCTTAGGTGGTAATGCACTACTACATAATCAAAGGTTATCAGAAAAGTGTGTTCCATTGAGGGAAATTGAGATAGATGACAGTATTATGTAATCTAGGTTTTTGATTTTTGTTTGCTTCAGAAAAGATTCTTGTTTTGCTTTTGAGCCAAGGGAATATTTTAGAAAATCGTGCTGGAACTGGACTGTTTATGATTCTTTTATCTCAGCATTCGAGATCAATGAAAATAAAAGAAACATTGCCTGGTTTTATGTCCAGACGTTTAGGCTGAATGTAATGGTCTCATGGAGTATTCACACTAGATGACATTCTTAAATGCTATGGACTTTCCCAGTGGGTTTTCTTGATCTTACGCTTGAAGAATGGCCTTTGAGTTCCAAATCTGAAATGACATTTCAGATTCTAGTGGCATAGCAAAGAAAATATAGTAGGTTTGATTTCTTCGTCTGCCATTCTCTCTGTCCTCCTGGATCTTTATCTTGACATCCATTGTGCCAAAAATTCACTGACTTCTTCCCCTGTGGCTCCCTCTAGGAACTGGAATATCTAAACAAGTGGGGCCTTAACATTTTCCGGGTTGCTGACTATTCCAACAATCGGTCGCTCAGCTGCATCATGTATACAATATTCCAGGTAAAGTTTGCAGAGGCCACTATTTTCTCCCCTGCTAGCCATGCACATGGCCACACATCTCAGTCCCCTGTCTGGTTTGGTCCAGTGGTACTATTGAGAATAAACATGAGAATGCTATACAGTCTATCAGTTTGGAGCGTGACCTTTTTAAAAAAGAAATTCACTCTCCAAATTATTTCAACGAAATATTGAGTTGGATACAGAAATGAGTCAAAAAGTGACATGTGCAACAATATGAACAGGACTAATTTATTATGTGGGCAGCATCCTAAGCATTTTAATGAAAGAAAGAAAGCATTTTGTGCCTTGATTTGAGGTTCAGCTGCAGCTTCTGAGATCTATCACCCTGTATTCTGAGGTGTGGGCCTTCCAGGTTCTTTTCCTATAGTCTATAGGAAAAATGTAATCAGAAGTGTAACCTGTACTGCTTGTCCTCTCTGTAGAGAGAAAGTGCCTTCAAAAAGTAATTCATCTATTCATCATTAATTGTTCAATCTGACAACCCGATGAGACCAAAACTACCATTATTCCAGCCAGCATAGCCAAAGTACTGAAAAATCTGCGGCCACATGTTTGGAGAGTTTTATCTCAAGATAATTTGTTTTTTTCATGAATCTGCAAAGGTGCTAGCTTTGCACTAATCTCCCAAAGCACTAGCTGGCTGGAGGTTAGGATCAGAGTTAGAGTTAGCAGAGATGGCAGGACTATTTTTGCTTTTATTCATGTACAACACCTTATATAATGGGAGGGGGGGGACGACTTTTATACACACAAACTAATAATGATGCCTGGGAAGCAAGTCTGCTGTATCCCATGTGGTTTCAAAGCAGGGAAAGGGTGGATCTAGATTCATGGTGGTGGTAGAGGTAGCTCTTGTTCATTGCTTCCTGGTATAATTATTGCTTAGGAACTAGAGTCAGCCGTAATTGGAGAGGGCAAAGATTCTGGTGCTCATTTTTCAGGAACCAGTTTCCATAGGAGAAACTCTGAACTGTCGCTTTACTATTTCAACCACTGATTTCCTTTTCATTCTTTCCCCATAGGAAAGAGACTTGCTGAAAACTTTTAAGATCCCTGTGGACACATTAGTCACTTATATCATGACACTAGAAGACCACTACCATGCTGACGTGGCCTACCACAACAGTCTTCATGCTGCTGATGTCACTCAATCTACGCACGTCCTCCTATCTACACCAGCCTTGGATGTAAGTCCTGATCTGTTGCAGTTTATGAGTAGGAAATGTGGGGATCCAACACCGCTGTTGCTTCAGCCTCTCTGAGGGCCTGGTTTCCAGTCCCAAAAGATGGGGAATTTCTGTTCTTTTCCCTGTTTCATTTGGAACAGCAGTGGGAGGCAGATTAATTTATAATTGCCTGATTGTTATGACTTGTATTATAGCAATAGCACTCAGACTTACCGTATTATTCGGACTATAAGACGCTCCAAAGTATAAGAGGCACCTAGCTTTTGGGGAGGAAAACAAGAAAAAAAAATCTGCCTCTGCCTCTGTCTCCCAGTAATTTGCCTCCTTGCAGCAAACAGCATGGTCAGCTTCAGCACAGCCTGATTTAGCACGAGCAGCTGATTGGCAGTTGGATCTGCCTCCCAGAATACCTTCTATCAGCTGTTCCAGGTTGTGGGGATCAGTGCTGCCCATTGGTGCTGGCACCACCCATCGCTGCTGTCACCTATTGCCACCTCCGCATGCCCCATTTTTGGCCTCTGTGCATCCCATTTTTGGTCCATTCCAGGCGGCACAGATTTCGGCCGCCTATCCCTACCGCTTGGAATGGGCTGTAAATGGGACGCGCGGAGGCCGTAAACGAGATGTGCGGAGACCGAAAATGGGGTGCGCGGAGGCAGCAATAGATGGCAGCAGCGATGGGTGGCGACGGCACCAATGGGCGGCGGAGATCCCCGCACCCTGGAACAGCTGATAGGAGGTATTCTGGGAGGCAGATCCAACTGCCAATCAGCTGCTCGTGCTAAATCAGGCTGTGCTGAAGCTGACCACGTTGTTTGCTATTTGCTGCAAGGAGGCAAATTGCTAGGAGGCAGAGGCTGAAGGGTGGGGGCCGGTGGGTGGGCGGGGCTTCGGTAACATTTGCTATATAAGATGCACAACATTTCCACCCACTTTGGGGGGGTGGGAAGTGTGTCTTATACTCCGAAAATACGGTATATACCACTTCAGTGCTTTACAGTCCTCTCTAAGCAGTTTATACTTTATAATACCCATAATACTGGGTATTATGCTTCCATTATAAAATTTTATTATGCCTGTCAAACAATGAATCTTGCTGAACTTTTAAAAGTGCCTACTATTGCTTTGAGTGATAGTGGATCACCATCTAGGGCGACAACACACATATTTTGGGGATCCAAATTCTAACCCCCGTTAATTCCTTTTTATTTGCTGGCAGGAGTTCTTCCATGAAACAGGGCAGAGGCACCAGGCATTCATTCCCTTTCTCCTTTACAGGCTGTCTTCACTGACCTGGAGATCTTGGCTGCAATCTTCGCTGCTGCCATTCATGATGTGGACCATCCTGGTGTCTCCAACCAATTTCTGATCAACACCAGTGAGTGAAGGCCACATGGAACATAAGCACAAGGGGGGAGTGCCAAGGAGTGGTGGGTGCATGTAGGCACATGGCCAGGATATATGTGGCTTGCATACAAGTTAAGCTAGATAGAAAGGGAATTGAAAAATGTCTTCCTTTCCTCCACAAAATTGAATATTGTCAATTATATACTGTTATACTGTTATATTTTTCGCTCGCTTTTTATTTATTTTTCCTTCCATTCAATCATATCCATTTTCAAAGACTTCCCTGCAGTTTTCTTGGTAATGTAGTTTAGAAGTGGTTTGTCATTTCCTCCCACCTAGAGCTAAAAGTGACTGGCTCAAGATCACCCAGCTGACTTTGTGCTTAAGGTGGGACTAGAACTCATGGTCCCCTGGTTTTTAGCCTAATGCCTTAACCACTATACCAAACAGGCTCTCAGATACTTTTTTAATTAGACAGACAGAGAGATTATTTGATGTGTTCTGTCTGCTGCTTGGAGCACCTTTGGCCATACTTCCATGAGCAAATAAAACCCTCCTATTCTCCATAACCCTCTCATCGTCTATGTCCCTTCCTTGCAGATTCAGAGCTAGCATTGATGTACAACGATGAGTCTGTTCTGGAGAACCATCACCTAGCTGTGGGTTTCAAGCTGCTGCAGGAAGAGAACTGTGACATCTTCCAGAACCTGAGCAAGCGACAGCGACAGACCTTGCGCAAGATGGTCATTGACATGGTGAGTTTGGGATGGAGGTGGGACTGGTTCCTGTGGAAAAACTTGCCTCTTATCTCCTGCAGCATTTCCAATTAGAAGTCCCATCCTCCTTTACTGGGAGAAACCTAATCCTTCTTTGAAGAGTCTGCATGATACCTTATATGGAAGAAATGTATTTCTGGCAGACCATATGTAACATAGGAAACGGATGGTTTTCTCTTGGAGGAAAATAGTTACCGTATTTTTCACACTATAAGATGCACTTCCCCCCCCTCCAAGAGAGGGTGGAAATATCTGTGCGTCTTATAGAACAAATATTGCAATGGGGAGGGGGGTTGGTGCGGCGGTGACATTTGTTGCCACCGGCTGTCACTGCTGCCATCGTTCGCTGCCAGCGGGAGATGCTGGAGCCTTTGCTGCTGAGCAGCTGATTGGTGGTTGGATGGGCCTCCCAGAATACCACCGATCAGCTGTTCTAGGTGGCAGGGATTGCTGCTGCCGCCAATCGTTGCTGGTGATTGGCAATGGCAGGGATTGGCCGCGGGGATGGACGGCGATTGGCAGAGGCAATCCCCGCTGTCTAAACAGCTGATCGGCTGTATTCCAGGAGGCTGATCCAAATGCCAATCAGCTACTTGGCAGCGAAGGTTCCAGTGTTCCCCAGTGGCAGCTCAGCTCAGTTGACCAGTGGTGGACGCAACGGAGCGGAGCCCTGATGAGCTTCGTGCTGGGGCTGCAATAATGTGCTGAAACTGACCAGGCTGTTCGCTGTTTGCTGCAAGGACGCTAGCCAGATGAATACCGAATGGATGCTGGGAGGCAGAAGCAGATTTTTTTTCTTGTTTTTCTCCTCTAAAGCTAATGTGCGTCTTATGGTCCAGTGCATCTTATAGTGTGAAAAATATGGTATGTTCCCTGCCATTTCTGTGCTTCTCTCTGCGTGTGTTGTTGCTGCATCAGAGGTTCAAAAATTCACACAGGAAAGATTAACCTAAGAAAGTATATACAGCCAAATCTCAGTCGGAAGAAAGGAGGCTATCTTGGAAAAGTCGGGAACTAAGTTAAACTAGCTGTTTTCTTACCAGCTTCCATATGGGGAGCTCCTTGACCAGAAGCTGCTGGTCCTCCTTTTTACTGATATATGGCTACCTTCTTAGCAGGATAGATATCTGAAAGAGACTTCATTTTAATACATAATAATTACTCCATAATACCAGAACCAATCTCAGATGCCCTAAATGGAAGTGGGCAGCTACCCATCTCTCCTTCATTCCCGTTTCACAACCATTCCAACTTTTCCTTTCTGAAGGCCAACTCAGTGAGTTGGTGTGAAAGCCACAGGATAGGTAGCAGCCCTACATCTCAGGCAAAAAGGGTCAACTAATCCATGGGGGTTGGGTTGTGATATTTAAGGAAAGCAGCAGAAGAGTTTACCAATTAAGAGGTACAATTACCTTTGCAAGGTCAGCAATGGGCCAACAATCTAGAATTAGGTAGGTAGAATTGGCCCTGTAGAATGTCAGAGGCAAGCCAAGCAGATTAGAATAAATTGCTTTTTCTCCTTTAGGGAGAAAACCTTAATTTTAAAAAAACATGTTTTGCATTAAATTCCAAGAGAGAACAGCTAACTGGCCCCTGTGTGTATATGAGCCCTTAATGCTAGAAGAATTTAATCTGTTGGTCTTTTCAGAGGTTCCTCGTCTGTTTTAAGAAAAATTCTGACAATAAAGTGCAAACTTGTTGAGATGTTGATACTGTGCAGAATTCTAGAAATGAAAAGGGCCATTCCAGTGTTATTAGAACTGAAGATTTCAATTGGGGAGGAGCAGAACATAAGCAGAGTGCTGAAAGAATACTGAGTAATTAAGTATTACTAGATAAGTCACTGAATACTCTAATATAACTATAGTTATATTTATTGGATGCAACTGTGGGTTTAATCCAGCAATCAGTGAACACTGTCACACATTTCTTAAACCTGAAGTAAAAGATTAAAAAATATCATCATCATCATTTTAGCCATTGTCTATCCACTGCAGGATATGCAGTCCTGAGCTTTCTTTTGCCAATATGCCATGTGCAGGTCTTTCTGTCTTGTCTTGTAATGCCGAGCATGTATCTTTGCGCCACTCTTAGCTTTTCTATCGATTGTGAGGTTAGTGTCCATGTTTCACCAGCATATATTGGTGGTGGTGTTGCAGTGGTTAGAATGCAGTACTGTAGGCTGCTTGCAATTTGGCAGTTCTAATCTCATCAAGCTCAAAGTTGACTCAGCCTTCCATCCTTCCAAAGTCGGTAAAATGAGAAGCCAAATTGTTGGGGGCAATATGCTGACTCTGTAAACTGCTTAGAGAGGGCTGTAAAAGCACCATGAAGCTGAATATAAATCTAAGTGCTATTGCTATATGTTAGAGCCGGTAGCACATGCTTTTCAGGCATAGGGGGAGGTTGTTCTTGAAATTTATGCTTAGCTTGCTGAATGCCTGCCAACCACATTTAATACAATGGTTCAATTTCCATTATTGTATCACCTATTGAGATCCGTTGGCCAAGATATATGTAGTGATCTACTACATCTAATTCTTCTCCAGATATAAAAAAAAATTTCTTTCTTTAGTGAGTTTAGTAAACATAACCTGGCTTTTTTTTCAGGTTTATTTTTAATGGTTCTCCTGCTTTGTGCAGCTCTTGTATGTGTTTTTGTAGCTCTTCTGAGTCTTGTGAGAAGTGAACATCATCATCATCTTAAATGATTTAAATAGGCGCCATTGATTTTTATTCCATCTTTTGCCCAGTTTAGTTTGCAAAATCCTTCTTCAAGACAGGCAGAGAGAAAAGGATAGGTGATATTGTATTGCTTGTCATACACTTCGTTCTATGTTGATTTCCACTTTAAGATCATTAAGGTAAATTCTCGCCATTGTTTTTTCATACACTGCTCAAAAAAATAAAGGGAACACAAAAATAAGACATCCTAGATCTGAATGAATGAAATATTTATAGTAAATACTTTGTTCATTACATATTTGAATGTGCTGACAACAAAATCACACAACAATTATCAATGGAAATCAAATTTATCAACCCATGGAGGTCTGGATTTGGAGTTACACTCAAAATTAAAGTGGAAAAAAACACTACAGGCTGATCCAACTTTGATGTAATGTCCTTAAAACAAGTCAAAATGAGGCTCAGTAGTGTGTGTGGCCTCCACGTGCCTGTATGACCTCCCTATAATGCCTGGGCATGCTCCTGATGAGGTGGCGGATGGTCTCCTGAAGGATCTCCTCCCACACCTGGACTAAAGCATCCCCCAACTCCTGGACAGTCTGTGGTGCAACGTGGCGTTGGTGGATGGAGCAAGACATGATGTCCCAGATGTGCTCAATTGGATTCAGGTCTGGGGAACGGGCAGGCCAGTCCATAGCATCAATGCCTTCGTCTTGCAGGAACTGCTGATATACTCCAGCCACATGAGGTCTAGCATTTGTGTGCATTAGGAGGAACCCAGGGCCAACCGCACCAGCATATGGTCTTACAAGGGGTCTGAGGATCTCATCTCGGTACCTAAGGGCAGTCAGGCTACCTCTGGCAAGCACATGGAGGGCTGTGCGGCCCCCCAAAGAAATGCCACCCCACACCATTATTGACCCACTGCCAAACCGGTCATGCTGGAGGATGTTGCAGGCAGCAGAACGTTCTCCACGGCGTCTCCAGACCCTGTCACGTCTGTCACATGTGCTCAGTGTGAACCTGCTTTCCTCTGTGAAGAGCACAGGGCGCCAGTGGCGAAGTTGCCAATCTTGGTGTTTTCTGGCAAATGCCAAACATCCTGCACGGTGTTGGGATGTAAGCACAACCCCCACCTGTGGACGTTGGGCCCTCATACCACCCTCATGGAGTCTGTTTCTGACCGTTTGAGCCGCCACATTCACATTTGTGGCCTGCTGGAGGTCATTTTGCAGGCTCTGGCAGTGCTCCTCCTGTCCCTCCTTGCACAAAGGCAGAGGTAGCGGTCCTGATGCTGGGTTGTTGCCCTCCTATGGCCTCCTCCACGTCTCCTGATGTACTGGCCTGTCTCCTGGTAGTGCCTCCATGCTCTGGACACTATGCTGACAAACACAGCAAACCTTCTTGCCACAGCTCGCATTGATGTGCCATCCTGGCTGAGCTGCACTACCTGAACCACCTGTGTGGGTTGTAGACTCCATCTCATGCTACCACTAGAGTGACAGCACCACCAGCATTCAAAATTGACCAAACCATCAACCAGAAAGCATAGGAACTGAGAAGTGGTCTGTGGTCACCACCTGCAGAACCAGTCCTTTATTGGAGATGTCTTGCTAACTGCCTATGCTTTCCACCTGTTGTCTATTCCATTTGCACAACAGCATGTGAAATTGATTGTCAATCAGTGTTGCTACATAAGTGGACAGTTTGATTTCACAGAAGTGTGATTGACTTGAAGTTACATTGTGTTGTTTAAGTGTTCGCTTTATTTTTTTGAGCAGATTGAAGTAACTTTATGTAAGCAGTGTCTACACCATGGTTGAGCAATGCCTTAATTATTGCTTGCTGGAGTACTGAGTCAAAAGCCTTTTCGTAGTCAATGAAAGTTATGCACAGAGGCATGGTGAACTCGTTGTGCCTTTCAATGACTTGCTGAACAACCTAGATGTGATCCATTGAGCTGTAGCCATTTCTGAACCTTGTCTGCTTATTTGGGTGTGCATCATTTAATGTTCTCAATATTCTTTTTGTTATTATCTTGGTGAATACCTTGTAGATGACTGAAATAAGGCTTATTGGATGATTGTTCTTTAAATCATCTTGGGCCCCTTTCTTGTGTAAAAGAATCACTTCAGCATTTTTCCATATATTGGGTATTTTTTCTTCTCTGAGGCATCTCAAGTATAGTTTTGCTAGTATCGTGTGTAAACCGTGACCACCGTCTTTCAGCATTTTAACCACAACATGGTCATTTCCTGAAGTTTCACCATTTTTTATTGATTTTAAGGCACTTGATACTTCCTCCACTAGGATATCTGACATTTCCCCTTTTGTGGGTGTTATTATTTTTGAGCGATCTTAATCTTTGTATAGCTCTGAATAGAATTTTCCAATTATTTCTAACATTTCCTGTCTTGTCCTACACACAGAGCTATCTTCATGTTTTAATGCAAAAACCTTCTTTCTTGTATTTATAAGCTTGCATTTTTCTCTATTAATCCCTTTGTTTTCTTCAATTGTCTTTTTCACAAGCTTCACGTTAAACTGACTTGTTTCTTCTTGGATACAGTTTCTTATGGTCTTGCAAAGTTCAACATACTCTAGTTTATTAGTGAAACTTTCAGTATTCTTCATTGTGCATCATTTTTTTAAATTAAATCAATCATTTTAAGACATATATGAGGATTTTTAAAAAAACTAATTTCTTTCTGGACTACATATTGAAGAGATGGGAGGAAGGAGAAGTAGAAAATTTCCTTTGTTTTTTAAGTACAGAAATTCATTTAACCAAGAATAGCCAGGTGAAGCCATGAAGATTTTTCCCCTTGCTTACTTTTATTTTATCCTGACAATCAACTGTTCATAGCAATTTCTAGTGACTTTAATATCAAAATCTCCAAATTGTCTGGTTAGCACCTTTTCCTAGTTTCTAATAGGAACAGTTTTTCTTTTTTTCAAAATATTGGAAAGGGGGTTCTGAACTATGTCCTCTAGGACTTTTTCTTGGAACCATGGAATGACTTAAAAGAATCAATATATTATATATTGAGTCTGGTGATTTTTAAGGATCTTGAAGTTTTCTCATGAAATAGATATGATACATAGGAACTTGCCTTGAAGATCAAGAGCTAGGCTGTGTCCCGAGATGGCATGTGATTTTGTTAGATTGGTTTTTGAAGTATTGAGAATTTCAAAGTTAACTCATCTACCACAACCTCTGGTTTATGGACTCACCAAATCTTGCTAAGGATCGTATCCATAAAAGTGTCTTTATCAAGTCGGAAGGCAGGCATGTATGAATGTGTGGTGTGAAACGAGTGAGGAGCTACACCTTTGTTTATTTCAGTGATTATTTTACAGGTCTTGGCCACTGACATGTCCAAACACATGAGTCTCTTGGCTGATCTGAAGACAATGGTGGAGACCAAAAAAGTGACCAGCTCAGGGGTGCTTTTGCTGGACAATTACACTGACAGAATACAGGTGAGTGAGGTCCACACACCTTGAATTAAGAGAAAGTAAAAAAATATCAGCTATGGACAAAGTAGACAGCTGGAAGCTAAACTTTTCCCAGACAATCTAAGTAAGGATGATGCAAAAGTGGCATTGAGTTTATCTGAAATGGTATGGGGTTTCCTGCCTGAGGTGGACTAGAAGATCTCCAAGGTCCCTTCCAACTCTGTTATTCTATTCTATTCTAAAAAGTTGGCCTAAGCAGTCTCTAAGCAGTTTCTTCAAAAGAAATGTAGTTTGGGTTGAGATCCCAGTCTATCACTTAACATTTTATATTGTCAAGGTTAATATTTTTAACCATGTTCTTTTGTTCAAAATGCTTCTGTTCCAACAGACAACATGCCTGAGCATCACAAAAATTTACCAGAGGTTACACTATAATCTCCTGGCTAACTACATTCACACCATATATTACAGCATTTTTCCTAGCTGTTGAGATGAAACAGGAAATGAATTATGATAACTCTATAGTTAATTTTTTGAGGTGGTTTGCGCATGCCATTCCTTTCCTGGATTTTTCATTTGCCATTCTCCTATTGTAGGGGTCTCCAACTCCTGGGCCACAGCCCACTACTGAACCATAGTCTATTTGAAACCATGCCACGTGGGCCAACTTATGCCAGCAGCAGGCCATCATGCATGCACACACGCATGCTGTCATGCGGTCAACTTCCGCAAGTTAAACAGTGCACACATATGCATGCACGCTGGTCCGCCACTCGCACAAGTTGAGCTGTGCATGCACTCATAGCGGCCCACCACTTGTGCGGCCCAGTTCTCTTCTTTCCCACTGGCCTGCCAAGCCACAAAGGTTGGGGATCACTGTCCTATTGGGTTCTGTGCCAGAGAAATGTTCTACTGAGGCTCTTTAGTCATCCACACATATCCCACAGCACTGAGTTTTTAAAGCTTTGATACTCTGAACTATGGTGCAGGCAGAGGTGTCACACACTGAAGCCTCTGACTGGCCCTGCTTTTTTGCCAATTTCCTCAGGTCCTACGAAACATGGTTCACTGTGCAGACTTGAGCAACCCCACAAAGCCTTTGGAGTTGTATCGGCAGTGGACAGACCGGATCATGGAGGAGTTCTTCAGGCAGGGTGACAAAGAACGGGAGCGAGGCATGGAGATCAGCCCTATGTGTGACAAGCACACAGCCTCTGTGGAGAAGTCACAGGTATGTGTGGTAGCTGTATGGGATCATAGCTCAGTTAAGGAGAAAGAAAGATCCTGTTCCTATTCCTCCTACTTCTTCATTTCTGCCATCATCCAGAGCAGGAATAGCCTTGTCTGGAGGTGGGTATTGGTTGCTATAGAAACCTTAACTCCATTACAAGGCAGCTCCACCCCAAAGTTGCAGTAGAGGAACATGGGAATTTCATTATATAAGACACTTGCAACTAAGAATTTATTGAAGATTATGCTATGTGGGTCCGTTGTGCACCCCCCTTTACAAAAAAATTGTACCTAAAGAAAGTAGCAGAGCTTGATCAGTGAACCAGAAGTGGCTGATATTGATGCTCTCCACCTGACAGCATCTTAAATGGTCTTTTGGACTGAGCCTTTTTTAATCAGGAAGATTCATCCTGAACTCTTCACTTAACCAGCAAGCTGAGCTCCCACTCCATGGTTCCTTGGATTAAATCTGGCCTTGTTTACTTGGAATACATATTTTCACCCCATCCCCCCCTTATTATTTCGGCTATTAAAAGTTATGCATTTTGAAGTTTAACTGGGCAAAAGTGAGGAGTAAATCCAACATTACATTTAAAAATGTTCTACACTGTTTTAAAATATTTTAAGAACTCTCCACTATTCAGAAGTCCATTCTGGTATGAATGGGGATTGCAGCATTTTAAAATGCATGTGATCATGTTTCTTTGGGGGTGGGGGGGAGAATTTGCCCCAAATTCCAAGATCGCCTTTTCTCTTGTAGGACTGCTTCTTCTATATCCTGTTGCTTTTGAAATTTTAAAATAATTCTTATGTAGTTCTGAAGAGCAAAAGCATTTTCTTTCTATGTACAACATGGTTATTCAATATATAGTATTAATGCTAATTTTACCATTTAAAGATATATTTGTGTACATAATGTGCAGAATTTGCTCTAAAGCCTTACTCAACTTAAGATTTCTCCCACTCCCCCAAGTTATCAAGACAGGTTGGCAGATTGGAAATATTCAGATCATAAAATAGAAGATGTGGAATCCACCCTTTTTGAATGATAAGTACCAAACCAATGGAAATACTCCATTTGAGATGCTTGCTTTGGATCCCCAAGAATGCTAAATTTGGAAGTGTCAGAGCAGACAATGAATTCCACTTTATACTTGCAGTCATGACACAAATTTACCTCTTGGGTAGGGAGGAAGTCTTAGGGGGAAAAAACAGGTTTCTGCATCCACCCGTTCTAAAATTCTATTTGGCAAATTCTTGAATCATACTTGAGAAACTCAGATGAAAGCTCCAGTAATGGAAGGATGGACACATCCACTTTTTTCTTCCATTGCTGGCATTATTTAGTGACTCTCTCCTCTATTTTTTCTCCTTCTCCTTCTCCTTCTCCTTCTCCTTCTCCTTCTTCTTCTCTCTCTCTCTCTCTCTCTCTCCTTTTGCAAGTGATCCTTTGCTGGGTGTTCTTCAATAGTTGGGTGGGAATGGGCCGGTCAATCTAACCTTTTCTCCTCCTCCTCCTTCAGGTAGGATTCATTGACTATATTGTGCACCCATTGTGGGAGACATGGGCCGACCTTGTCCACCCTGATGCACAAGACATTTTGGACACTCTTGAGGACAACAGGGACTGGTATCACAGCATGATCCCCCAGAGTCCCTCCCCACCTCCAGACGATGCCGAGAAGGATGAGGAGGCCTGTCTAGAGAAATTCCAGTTTGAATTGACCCTGGAGGAGGAAGGGGAGGACTCAGAACCATCCGAGAAGGACCACAGCAGTCCTGGAGATGAGGACAACAGCTACTACACAGCCACAGAAGAACAACATGAGTCCCAGAACGGGGAGGACAGACGAACGGACAGTACAACAGTTGGCACATCATGACTGTGGGAAGGGACAACTGAAGAAAGCAAGCTCACCTAGAGACACACACACGGAAGTTTTCATGAGGGAGGGGTGGGGATAAAAAAATGGAAAAAAACTCATTTTTTATTTTTATTGTATTTTTTATAAAATGAAAACTAAGAAAAAAAGGGGGGATGGGGAATACACACAACAACTGTAGAACCAGGTTGGCCCCAGCAGAGGGTAGTAGCCTGCTGCTGTAGTGACTGGCCCAAGCACTCCAGAAATAATTTTTCATTTCTTTTTTTTTTCTCTCCCTTCCCTTCATGATTTCTGACTGGTTGTTTTTAATTACTTCATTTTGCTAACTTTTTTAGACTTCTGCAACCAGGAAAGGGAAGAGGGCACTGATGATGTGAGGCATGTATGTAGCAGCAGAGAGGCAAAGCCAATAGAATTATTTTTAAAATAGTGATTTTGCCTATTTGTAGTAAAAATAGATGCAAGTGCAAGGAGCTTGACAACAAAAACTGGTAACCATTTGACGTAGATACACAGAGAGAGAGGTTCCTGTAGTGTTTTTCAACCATGGCAACTTTTAAGATGTTTGGATTTCAACTCCTAAAATTCCCTACCCAGCTATCCTGGCTGGGGGGATTCTGGGAATTAAAATCCACACAAAGATGCTGAGGTTGAGAAACCCTGCTGTAATTCCTTTGTTCCAGATATGTCCTCCCCATTTAGCTCATGTATTTGTGCCTTTATTTCATTGGAGGGAAACCTCTGAAGCTCTTCAGAGGGTGTCAGAATCTTAACTCCTCTTCTCCAGTGTTCCTTTAGAATAGCTGGAGGTTAAAGTCCAGGGCCCCCTGGAGGCCCAGATATTTTTCTCAGTGCCCTTGGGAGCACTGCTCTCCCAGGTGGACGTTCAAATATTGGAGAAGGTTGAGAGGAAAAGTATTGTTTTTATTTTTGTAAGTTATTTTTTAAGCTAGTGGTTATTTATTTTTGTGAATTTACATAGATTTGATTTTTATTACGGACTGATAAGAAAGATTGCCTTTGAGGATTTTGTTGCTGTTCATGTTTTTTTCTCCCTTCTTGGAGCAGTTCTTTGTTTTCTATTTAATGTATAGTTTGCAAGTGTGGATTTTTAATTCTTTGCCTACAATGCCATAGATTTCTCCCAGAGCAAATGGGAGAAGATACTATTTTACAGAAAATGAAACTAAAAAGGGAACAAGAATCAAAAACATTCTATCCAAGTTTCCAAATAGCCGAGTCTTCCTCCGCTCCTCATTTTGCACAAAAATAAAAAAGCAATACGGCCAGGATCAAATATTTATGCTGGCCAACTTGCTTAGACAGCTCTCAGCTGGGGATCTCAGGTGTGAGTATTCCCTCCTCCAGGTTGGGGACGGAATCAGCAGATATGAGGACTGGAGAGAGGGGTGGTGTACGCTGAGTGGCGTTTGTTTTATCAGTGATTTGCAATTTTATCTTTTTTATCTGTGTCTGGATGCTGCTTGATGAATCTCTGAAATGCAGTGCTCACAGATTTCTCAGCTACAAAAAGCAGGTGTATTGAAAGGATCTTCCCATTTTCCCACAGAAGAATAGAAAATTAGCAGCCTTTCCTAATGAACTTTCTTTTTATGTGATGTGGTATATCAACAAGGCTGGAACACAAACGTTGATTTGTGGAGTTGAAACTGGAAGATGAGAGATGGGTTTGTTTTTAATCTGTTATGAATTTCAGAAGAAAAAGCCTTTTAATGTCTTTGGTTCCAGAGATGGGGATCTGTCTCCGACACCCTCAGCTACATAATAATAAAAGAGCCCATCTCTTTTATTGGCTCAGAAAGCCACATCACTTAGCTATAAAGTAGGGATCAAATTGCTTGCATCAGATTTGAGACCCCATTCTAGGTGGTCACAATAATCAAATGAAAAAGTCACCTGCCTTGAAATCAGATCTGGAGACAATTTTGCCAACAATGGTTAGCCAAAGGGAATCTGACAGGTTTCCTTTTCCTGTAGAGCAGGGGTCCCCAAACATGGCAGCCTTAAGACTTGTGGACTTCAACTCCTAGAATTCTCCAGCCAGCATAGCATAGCTGGCTGGAGAATTCTGGGAGTTGAAGTCCACAAGTCTTAAGGCTGCCAAGTTTGAAGACCTCTGCTGTAGAGGTTGTGAAAGTAATCCAAGTCTTGTTCCACACATTACCATGTCAGATCCCTCTTTCCTCCATCCTGGAGGTGTCTGTAGTGGTGGTTCTTCCCAGAAAAACAGAGCCTGCACTAGCATGGCAAAAAATAAAACTAGGCCCTTCCATGAACCTGCTCTTATCATTTCCCAGGAGAAATCTGTTTGGCTGCTAATTTCTTTGCCTTAACTAGCAAAACAGTTTGATTTGCTAAATGCAGCATCCTTGCATCTTGGCATTGAAGGGAGAGCATTTTCTCATTCCCAAAATGCTTACATCACATCAAAAAGGATATTCGCTACTAGGCCACTAGTCTTTCAGTGGACAAGGAACATTGCAGGATCCAGTCTTCAAAGTTGCAGGACCACGATCCTCTTGGCATTGTTTCTCTGCCTCTGTGGGCTAGTCTTGGGCTGGTTGATGTGTGGGCATATTCCCCACTCCTTGCTAAGCAGCATGCCTCCTGCTGTTTACTAGTAGGAAGACAGCTGTAGTTTTGAATTTGTTGAGTTTCTTGATGGCAGAGCCATTGAGTGTTGTAGCCTAGTTCAGCTTCTCTTCCAGACTCCTGGGGGAGAAGATATACTGCCCCCCCTTTTGTCTCTCTTATATGGCTACCCAGCATCAGTGCACGACTCCCATAATCCCCCCCCACACCTTGCAAGAGGTGAGGGTGAAGCAATAACAACTAAGCCCTTTTCCTGCCCCATTGCTACAACTGAGCTGTTGAACCAAAGCCAAACCTCCCCTTTTGCAAAGGTCTCATTCCACACATGGACGCCACCCACTTTGCATTGGCTGCTCCTTAGCCAGCTCTCTTAGCATGCAAGCTTAGCAAAGTAATGTTTCAGGCCTAGGTCAGCCCAAGCTCGGAAGAGGAAGTTGTGGGATATGTGCTGGGGCTGCTGCTTGGGTAGACCAGAGCATTCCCAAGGGCTGGCCTGAGACCATGACAGCTTTGGTTAGCCACACATCAAACCCTTGGAGAAGGCCAGCTGCACAGAGAGCCTTGGCGAGGTTGCTGTCCCTTGGTGGCCTGCCGGCTAAGAGCTGCCATTCCTGCATTGCCAGTCTTTGCAAGGCGGCCAGTGTAGGGCATCTCCTTTCCAACCCAAGGGAGAAAACATGGCCATTTCTGAACACAGTACTGTAGCTATTTTCTTTGTATTTTTACTTTTCTTTCTTGAAGCCTCAATTGTAAGGGATAAATAAGAAAGAGAATCTCTTTCTAATTTTCTGTATAGCTTTTATTTTTGTATGCAGTTCTGTTCCACAAGTTTGTTGGGTCAGGTTTGGACTGTACATAATTGTGAATAAGCAGATTGTAAATTATTCTAAAAAGTAAAAAGAATCTTGCAAACAAGATCCCCTTTCCCCTGCTGGCCCTTCCTCTCCCACCCTCCACTCCTGCCAGGGGTCATGCTGTGCTTGAGAGCATCCAGGGAGAAGAATGAGAGCTCTGGGAGACTCTCCAGCTGCATTCTCTCAAGGGCTCTAGGGCACAGACCCCATTGCACCCTCCTCCTCCTCCTCCTCCTCCTCCTCCACCACCACTCCTTTCTCCTGTCTGTGTATTTATGGTGTAATATAGACACACTGGACATTGTAGACTTGTCATTTTTCCTTGCAGTGTCGTTAATCAGCTGTTGCAATGTTCTCTCTCAGATGTTACCAAACCGTTCAACAGCCAAGCTCACAAATAAATCAGGAGGAAGGGTTTCTCTGTGCCTCCAAAGATGACCTGGCTTCTCTGCAAGGCTGGGTGAATTGGGGAGGGGAAGGGAGGGGAGAGTTGGGAAAGGAAGAAAGGTGCAGCTGCAGCCTCTGCTAAACTGGCAACTTCTCGAGGTGTTTGACTACAGTTCCCATCATTTTGATAACCCCATGGATGACATAGGGAGTTGGATGCATAGGGAGAACACTAGATTGAGCAAGCTATGGCAGTAATTTTCAGCTGCCCAAATCATTAATAGGACAAAGAGAAATAGTATTTAAGCTAAAGGAATGCTATCATCCTCCAGTGGATTCTTCAAAGACTTTTGAGCCTTAATGCTAGAAGGCAAGTAGGGACTAAACTCATGAATGGAATGTAAAACTAATGAAATAATTTACTGCAAAGGATTAGGCTAGATAAAAGGAGAGGAAAAATGGCCCTACATGTGAAGGATATGCCTTCATATATTGAGACTCTGGATGAGGATCCGAGACCCTGTAGGTAAGAATAAAATAAGGCGAAACAATAAAGTTATTACTGGGGAGTGTGCTATAGGCACATCTGGATTATGTCTTCCTGGGTTGAATTGTAGAACCTTTGGGGAGGACAATTTTATGGGAGACTTTAAGTGTTCCCAAATTCCTCAGTGTTCTTGTTTCATTTTCCAGAAGCCTGAAGAAGGCAAGGGGATTGACTCTCAGATCTGATCCCGAGTCCTGATATATATTTGCATGCTGTACAATGAGAGAAAAAAAGGGGTGGGAGGAGCAATTTTGGGAAATTGTGGATGCACAGGGAGTTTTCACTTCAATTAAAAGTGAAATAGGACATGTGTAGGAAAAGAAGGATGGCTGTAATAACTAAGGAGATTAAAGTTAAAAAGGCTGCAGCACAAAAGGAATTTAGCCAAAGCAACATAACAGGCTTTTTGGCAAAGGATCCATGCATACAGTCTCCTTACCCTGGTGCAAAGATAGTCTCAACTGCACAAATCCAGATGAGCCCTAAGAGCCAACAGATTTTTTTTTAGAAATCCTCTTAAACGTTTTGCTGCCTTGAAATGGTCAGCAGATCAAATTCTATGGTTAATAATACAGTATTAGTACATAGTAAGTAGGGAAAAAATTACATGGATATATCTGAGCACTCTCCCCACAGCAAAACCTGGCCAAACAGAGCCAAAAACATTTATGCAGCAATGCCTATGGAGATTCTCAAGTCATCCAGGTCATGATTGTCCCAAAGGTGTGTTTTCAGGCTTTTTCAAAGAAAAACAAAAGTCCAGTTGCCTCCCGAAAAAGCATTTTTGGGAGATCTATGCAGCAACTGCCTCCTGGTAGGACAAATTTGGGTGACTATTACATTGCAAGAGAAATGAACCTTCTGCTATCAGCTACTGGCTGTTAGGTCAACAGGTCAAGCATTCTTGGGGGGTGGGGAATAATGGATAGAGTATTTGGGCCGTGCAAGTACTGTCTTGCAGGGTCAGTACAATGATTGCTGGTTGCTTTTCCTGAGGTTGGTGACATTTGCATCTCAGTGATTGGTGATCCTATCCTCTTCTGGATGCAGTGTAAGGATATGCTTTCACAGGGCAGCAAAACATGTCAGTGAGTCTCTCCTGGTTTGGGGATAGGAGGAAAGAATTGCAAGAGCAGCTGTGTGGATGAGACACTAATAAAAAGGTGCTGGGTCCACTGATAAGAAAAGATAGGATAATAAGAACTGATGGGGAGAGGACAAAACTGCTCTCAACTTTGCTTCAGTCCTTTCCCCAAAGGATTTAAGGAAAACAATGGGAACCTTAAAGTAAATCTGGCTATCATGAAGTCAAAATCAAAACAAATATATCCCAGACTCTGAGTTTGCAGATGTCATCTTGAGACTCACTCTATTATCCCTGAGAAATCATGGAGAACCGGTGAATCATGGAGAACTGGTGTAGTTCCAGAGGATGACCAAAGACAAATAATATACTTATCATCAAAGAAAAGAGCTAGTGGAGAAAGGATTTAAGTTAACATATTGAAAGTTTTACTTAACGCTAAGCAAATTAAACTTAAAACTAAATTAAATGGTTTATGAGCATTTAAAATAAAATGCATTGATTGGCAAAAGATAACCTGGGTTTATCAAAAGCAAATGTTAAACCAACCTATACCTTTTTCTGATAAGTGACATATTCTGTTGACAACAAGGATATATGTCCCTTGATTTCAGCAAAACATTCACCTCCCATAACATTAGCAGGGAAGGTGACAAATATAGGTTGGCTTAGGCTACCAGGCCCCAATTTGCTCAACACATTTATAAATTATTTGGATAAGGGGTTAAATATATGATCACCAGATCTGAGATGGCCAAAAGTTAAGAGGAACTGCAAACATCTTAATGGGAAATATGAAGTTTTAGGAAGATCTTGAAAAGGTAGAACAGGCAGAAAGCAGTAAAATGAATTTCAGCTGGGACAAATGCAAAGTCCTTGATTTGGATAGGGGGAAAAAATTAAAGCCTGTACTCACTTGCAGTACATTCCTTGATATTCTTTACCATATGTCCTATTGCCATTTTTCTTTAGGGGTTTCAAATGCAAGATCATAATCCATTTAGGATAGCACATGCTGATTCATACGAAGTACCTTCACTCAAGACCTTTTCATTACTGTCAGTTTCTCCAATTTCTAGTACTCATGCTGCATTATGCGTAAGAGCCTTGGTGGCGCAGTGGTTAGAATGCAGTACTGCAAGCTACTTCTGCTGACTGCTGGCTGCCTGCAATTCGGCAGTTCGAGTCTCACCAGCTCAAGGTTGACTCAACCTTCCATCCTTCTGGGATCAGTAAAATGAGGAGCCAGATGGCTGGGGACAATATGCTGACTCTGTAAACTGCTTAGAGAGGGCTGTAAATCATTGTGAAGCGATATATAAGTCTAAGTGCTATTGTTATTATTACTTCTATACTTCAGTGAACCAGTTTTCACCCAATGATCCACTTTCTTGAACCATTAACTTCCCATAAGACAGTTGACAGTAAAAAAAAATGTAAACTCTGCTTGTTTAAACTGGATATTGTATAAATGAATGGCTGGCCTACTATTTTGTAAAAAGCAGTTAGGCTGTGAGTGGGGGAGACGTTGCCAAGTCCTACACTGTTGATAGTATGATCTCCAGAAAGCACCAAGCAAAGTTTCCAATTAAGTGTCACCAGTTTGCAATCTCCAGAATGAATCCTTGGTGAAAATGGAAATCCTGCACTGTCGCACTGAAAAAGCCATACAACATCCTAGGAGGTTACTGGCAGTAAACGCAAGTGTGTGTGTGTGTCGGGTGATACTAAGTGAGAGAGCAAGTTTGACAAGAAGGCTGATGGGTCTCCATGGAGCACTGGCAGTCTACAAATCAGACTGAAAATCACCATATAGCCTAATGGATGCTCACTGGAAACTAGTGGCTACAATTGCTTTTAGTACTCAAGTGAGTCTAGCCTGTCATTAAGAACACAAGTATTCCTGTAGAAGTACACATACAACCTTGCTTGTGATTAGACAGAAATACTGTTGTTGTGTATGGTGAGAAGGCCTGCCTTCACTTAGCCCAGAAGTCCATCTACTCCATTCTTCCTAGATTCAACCTGCTTTATTCTTACTCATTCTACTAAATCAAGCATTGGGAAAAACAAGAAAGAATCTACTGTAGTCAAAGGTTATTTTGCAATTATTAGCTATTTACTTAGAAAAGAAATACATATGTTCTGTCAATGTACATCACAGAATTGAGGGGCCACCAGCAGTTTCTCTGGGATGCATGGATTGATTCTGGCTGAAGGAAGCAGTCCTGCAAATACCTTACTGCCAAGTGAGCAATGTTTTAATAGCATTTTGAATTACACTCAAAAGCCGATAGGAAGCTAGTGTAGATCTGCAATATCAGCATAATATGTTCATTGCAACAAATGCCAGATAATATCTGGGCCCTCGCATGATGAACACTAAGTGAAGCTTTTGAGTGATCTTCAGAATGGTCATGTAGAGTGCAGTGCAGGACAAAAGGCATGTAATGATGAGAGCATTAGTTACAGATGTGAGGTCCTCCTGCTCCTAGTAGGACTAGTGTGGCAAAACTTAGGGAAAGGCCTCCTGGCCATACCTCCACCTGCCAATCTATCAATAGGGTTTTATCGCATTAACTCTGGAGCAGGTGGAAGGAGTTATTGCTGTTAAAGGAGTTGCTCCATTTTTATAGATGACCAAATAAGACTGAGATCTCCAAATCTGGGATGATGCCCCTATGAGCCCCTTTATGAGGGAGATGAGCGATTAAGAAGTTTGATACATAAATACTACAGATCTGCTCCTTCTGTGGTACTCCATCCAGAGACAACACTAGAGCAGTCACAACACCTCAAAGTACAAATGGCAATTCCATCTCGCTTGAACTCAAGATGCCAAAGGTAAGCTTGGTGTAGCCAAAGACTTATGGTTTTCAGCAATTGCTTCAGATAAGAAAGTTGACGGAAAGAATCTGGGAATAGAGGCATCAACATAAGAAGGAAACTTCATCTTGAGACAACCTAAATTGCACTGGGAGGGAAAGACATAGCACCATTCTCAGGGTTATAGTGGTTTCTCAGCATCACCGCAGATTTGGAGATCTCAGAATGATTTTTATTTGGTCATCTGTAAAAATGGAACAGTTCCTTTAACAGCAGTGTCTCCTGCTATCTGCTACAGAGTTAATGCAATAGAACAAACTCAAGGCCCGTGGGCCGTATCCGGCCAGCAGGATGTTTAGATCTGGTCTGCAGGGCCACCCTGGAAACAGCGAAGATCTGGTCCACAGTGCCTCTGCCAGCAAAAATGGAGCTCGGGAAGGCCCCATGTGCAGCTCTCACAAGCTCTGTTTTTAGCCACAACAGCCTCCTGCAGCCCTCTGCCAGGGAAAATGGAGCCCTCCCAAGCTTCATTTTTGCTGGCAGAGAGCTGCAGGAGGCCGTCCCAGCCAAAAATGGAGCTCAGGAGCCCGTTTT